ATTGTCATCAACATTATAGACTTCTCCAACCATTACATATTTTAAAACAACCATGGTCTTCTATTTCTATGAATCTTTTAATTTTAAATTTTTATGATTCTATATTTGTGATAGTAGATCATTTTATCAAGATGATATATTTTGTATCATGTACAAAATCTATCATAAGTAAAGAAATAGCTAAGCTTTTTCTTGACAACATTTAACACTATCATGGATTATCCAAGGATATTATATCAGATAGGGGATTCAATTTATATCAAGTTTTTAGAAAATCCTTTTTAATATATTAAAAGTAGAAATAAAACCCTCTTTTTCTTTTCATTTACAAACTAATAGGCAAACAAAATGAATAAAATAAGTTCTAGAGTAGTATTTGAGGTGCACCATTAATTATCATCAAGATGATTTAACAACTCTTTTGCTATTATCAAAGTTTATATACAATAATTTGGTACATTCTTCTATTTAACAAATATCTTTTTTTTTGCCAATTATGATTATCATCCACGACTTGATATTTTTGACATTTTAAAATTTGATAATCCTACAGCAAAAGATTTGGCAAATTATTTCTTAAAGCTACATGTAAATATGAAGGCATGATTAAAAGAAGCTCAAGAATGACAAAAGATCAATCCGGATGTCTATTGCAAGAAACAACCACAATTCAATGTAAGTAACAAGGTATGGCTACTTTGTTGCAATATTAATATTACTTGTCTTTGTAACAAGTTGGACTATCATATACTTAGACCTTTTCTATTAGTGAACAATTCAATCCTATTACTTATTGATTATATTTATTGGAGTCTATAAAGATCCATCTCATATTCTATATATCTCTTCTCGAGCCATATAAAATAATGAATATCTCAAAAAGAAGATAAAGGCTATATTTTTTTATAGAAATAAATAATAATCAAGAGTTTAAAGTAGAAGAAGTTTTAGATTCAAGGCAATGTCAAAATAGGTCAGAGTATCTTGTTCAATGGTGAAGATATAATATTACTAAATATATATGAGAGCTAGTAAAGAATCTTGCAAAAGGAACAAAGAACATTGAAGTTTTTCATCGATGACATCCATCAAAACTAAGATAAAGAATAGTAAATCTTTGCTATAATAGAAATAAGATCCAGAAAAAATAGAATTCTATTTTCTACTCTTCTTTGATACTTTTGTATATTTTTCATACTAAAAAGATGAAGAACCAATAACCAATAGATTTAGTTTAAGAACTCTCACTTGTTGATTTATTAGACAAAACATTGTGATTGTTACAATCTTTCAGAAGATATAATTGAGATAAAGAACTTAATGAATGACATATTCTTCTTCAAATAGATGGCGAGATCAAATTCTAGAGTTTTATTGCACACTACAATTTGCAATACAACATTGATAAGAAAGAAAGAACTTACATTGTTGCTGCATGAACACTACAAGAAAGAGAGGGATTGGCAATAGCAACTCCAAATTCATTGTTGACATTCATGTGATGTAATATGGCTAATAAGTGAAAGAATGAAGAAAATATTATATTATAGAAGATCTTATTTCTAAATATTATAGTAATTATCTTAGAAATATAGATAATAGTGAAAAGATAGTAAAATTAAAAGTATAAATATTATTTTTTTACAAAGTGGACTTCTATTTATTTTGTAGGACTGTAAATAAGAAAAAATAAGATATATAAAAAAAAATGATATAATCATGTATAGGAAGAAATTAGAAATTGATTTTAATAAAAATTATCTCATGAAAATAAGAATTGATACTTAGAAAGGACTAATTGGCAATTAGGATTGAAATCATATTCCAAGATACAAAACTGCACATCTGGAATGACTCCAAGATTCTTTTGTAAATCAAAGAGTGGAATTTGAAAGAATACTTTTTTAAAAAAAAATTAAACATTTATTTTGAGTAATTTGAGTTTGTAATGACTTTATAAGAACTTTGCAAAGTTAAGGTTGTTTTGGTGAATTTGGTTTTATGAAATAAAATAAAATGAAATTATATTTCCAAAACTTTTGTAAGTTTGGTAGTAAATCTATAGGTGAAAATTTGTGGATTTGTGATAATAGTTTTTTTTATTGCATGCTATACATTGGAGCATAATCAAATAGTTAGATTAAAGGTTATTAAAGTTTAAGTGGACTAGAATCTAAAAATTAGAATTTTGAAGGTCAATGAGGGTTTTTAAGATTTTTAGCAAGTTGCCAATTGGATTGTAGTGAAATTTATGTGTGTGGATAATAGACTTTATTTTTAATGTATATGTGAATTTTGAAAGATATTTAATTATAAAATTAAGAGATTTTGGCTCAAGGAGATTATCATTAAGATTAGAAAATGAGGCCAGCCAATATATGAACAAATTTTAGGATTTATCTTCTTCTAAGTAAGTTTGATCTTCTTAAAAATATTTGTACTTATTGCGAGCTTAATTATTGACAGGTGTGCAAAATTTGAGTTGGAATCAATTGATTGATTGTTAGTTATGGAAGTTTTAATTTGCCATAGGATTTGTTTAGGATCTGTATAGGATTTATCAAAGATTTTATTAGAATTTGTCTAATATTTGTCTAAAATTTGATTAGAATTCAATTAGAATTTACTTAGAATTTTTTATTAATAATTTATTTAAAAAATTAATTAAACTTGATTAATATTTTATTATATTTATTAAGCTTTAATTGTAATTTACATAAGATTCTATTAGAGTTATTAAGACTTGTTATAATTTTTTTTTATCTTCTACAGCCAAAAGTTTGATGTATTTTCAAGCGAGACTTCACATAATACGACAATGTGCTACTACTATTGGAACTAAATACTACATTGCCGTAATATCACATTAATGGAAGAGATTTTGCATTTAGTATCTTTATTGCTACTAGATGAAAAAGAGGATCTCTTTTCAATTTTTGGATGAAGCAAGCCAAAGTAGAGGACTTTATAAGGATCATTGCAAGGATTTTGCAAGAATATTGAATTTCAAAAAGTCAAGACCAATATTAAAAATAAGCAAGATCACAAGATGATATGTTTGAATTTAAATTAAATAAAAATTATTTGGATGAAATTAGGATTTGAATGGATGAATTTAATCAAAATTAGATGAAAATTTGTAGATGATTATTGATTGAAGTGGATGAATTTTTATTTTTAAATGAAAAATTATTTGTGGATAAAAATTTATTCTTGAATGAAATTTTAATCTTAGATGATTTTTTTATTAAAAAATAAAATAAAATAAATATATAATAAAATAAAATAAAATAATAAAAATCAATTTCTTTTTAAGTATATATATTTTGAATTATTTTATGTTACTTTATGGTTGTTATGGATATGTAAGTGTGAATTTTAACTACTTAGAGAACTTAAAGGTATTTTAGTAAAAAATAAAATGGCATCATATTTAATCAATCACAAGTTACTTAATAATTGTGAACTAAAATAAATCACCTTCTAGACGAATTATTTTAACCCACAATTGGAGAGTATTGTAATTGTTGGACACAAATTGAATAATAACCATAAAATATTATAATTATTAGATAATCAACTTGTTGTGAATTAAGATAGACTTTCTAATAGTAGGGATTTATTTTAGTTTACAATCCTTTACAAGAAATAATATAAGAAAAATTGGTTCTATTAACATTGACTACAATCAAATTAAAAGTCTTCTTCTTACTAAGTATTTATTCCTTATTCTCATTTGTATCAACATATATGCTTGGAGGCTCTTCATTTTCATCTATAATATACTTCTTTATAAATAAACTAGTATTTACTCTCTCAAAATACTCTCAACTTGACTTCTAAAAATTTTCATTATTTTGTAAAGAACATAAACATTACAAATGAGATTTTCCACTCTTAGATCACTTCTATATGACAAATCATCTCTTAGCACCATAAGAGGCCTTTTATATACTTTAAGGTACTTTAGCACCTTTATCCACAAAATAAGTCTTCCAAAGATCTAACTTAGGAAGAAAACATAATACAAGCATTTTAAAACATGTCTTTTACATCTAAAACAAACACCAAATTTAAATTATACTTAATCATAAGTATGTGCAAACTTGTATCTAATTCTAGATCTAAATTTGAAAATTAGAAGATTCCAAATTCTAACATCAATAACAGTAAGATGATCTATTCTTTACAAAAACAAAGACTCTAAATAACTTCAAAAGTTACAAACAAATGTCTATGGGCCTATAAAAAAAATTAAAAAAAAATTAAAAAAAAGAAGAAGATAAGAAGTCTTAGTATTTAACATTAATAAGGTTATACACAAAGAAAAGTGTGGAGTAGGATGACTCTCACTTCTACCACCATTTACTTATAGGAAGGAGATTACATCTAATGAAGATAAATCTCATCTACAATTATCTTCATCCCAATTTGCTTAATCCAACCAAATCCTAAATCCTTCTCAATTTAGCCACCACCCAAAATCTTAAGTGTCATCCTAATAACTTGATCTAAGCATTTGTTGCTTTTTGACTATTAACAACTTATCAAGATTAAACTATGAATGATAATAAATCCTAAGTTTGCTAATCCTCAACAAAAAGTATTTTAAAAAATAAAAAATTTAGTCTTTATAATCAATGAAATTAGTAAATAGTTTAAAATATAGAGAATAATCTTATTATTACCTTCAATCAAGAAAATTATAAATTTTAATTAAAATACAAGAAAAAAATAGAAATAAATTTTTTAAAATAAATTGCAATAAGATTTTAAAATATAAAAAAAATGTAAAATAAAACAAAATATTTTTTGATAGAATTGTTTTTACAAAATTATTTTACAATTCTTATATTTTATTAATTGATATTTTAAAAACCAAAGTTAGAGGAGTGATAAACAATAATAGTAGGAGGACTTCAACAAACACAGAGCTACAAGAGGCAACAATATGAGGCAATAATAGGAGGAACAATAGAAAATTAAATTAAGAGGAGCAATGGTAGAAAGATTTATTTAATTATATTCTTATTATTCGTCAAAATTTTAAACTAGGGATTAAATAGCCCTAATCAATATCTTTTTCTTGTTTAATCAAACCACAATGCAACCTCAACTATTGTAAAATACAGTATCTTGCTGGGACTCCCAAGATGTCCATCTATTGAACGAACTATCTCTTTCTTTGTGGGACATTATGTCTAGAAAAAAATAACAAAGTGTGTATAGTCACACCGTATCACATTTGACACAATCCACCATTTCTGAATTCAATTATAAATTTCATCAGCTTCATTCAATTGCATTGCTGCTCACTATGAGCACATGATTCTAACTTCTTGATCTTCACCGATGGGGACAAGGTGTTCAAAACGCCGACCTAAAGGACCCATCTTTTCCAACAAAAAAAGGTGATATTGCACCGTCACTTTGGGTACCAAATCCCAACCCTACCAATTCAAAGAGCACCATCCTCTAACAAAAGATTCGTGTTTTTAGTAACTTCCTTTCATTGTGAGTGATGAAATGCGGTGATCAGTTCGAGAGAAGGAAATCGGAACCTTCATTGAATGCAGAAGAGGAGCTCCTCCAATTGGGTGTCCACTGGTGCAACAAGCTTCCGAGAATGCTCCGAACATCTGAAGGAACGAAGTTATGTGATGTGATAGCTCTTCGATATGCCCTCTACCAGCCCCAGGGCTGATATAATCCTGGTCGCGGAAGAACTGTCCTCCTTCTCGGAATTCGAGAAGTTAATTGACAAGGAAAGCTAGAGGAAAGGGAACACTACAGCTTCAGAAACAAGTTTGCGCTTTCACAGCCTAATGCTGTACAGTCCAGAGTCCACAAACATTGCAATATCGTCCAATTCATCACCCTGCGCACATGACACCGAGATGCAGCCATTACCAGGCACAGACTCGGATCTCCTTGAAACAGCGGGTGCATACGACTAACACACTGATCGCTACAGAAATAAAATTGCTGTAATCGAGGACGTCTCTAATTTCTGTGGCCAGCCCCGAAGTCCACATGCAAGGATACTGCAATTTCGTAGGAAGAAATTACTGTAGATGCAACCGATCTGAGAAGCACCTCGATCACCTCAAAAACCCAAAACATTGAACGCAGTCCCAAGATTTGCTCTGACCCATCGTGCCTCACACGCCAGCACTGCAGGCTCCACACAAGCGACATGCCCGTCGACAGCGACGATTCTGCAGCACAGATGACGTGATGGGGGTCATAAATGCATCCTGACAATAGGGTGAGACACGCCCACTGCGCTTGGATTTTTGGCTCGAGTATAGCCTGCACTCGCTTTCAGGGTAGCGAAGCTGTGTTACACACCATAACCACATGAATTCCCGAATCCGAGTCAAAGGTTTCCTCACCGTGAAATCATGATTCAACACAAGGTCGATAAGCAAACCATTTTGTAAAATCCCAATTGGGATATTCCAATCTTCAGTCCATCTTATCTGCAGACGTTTAGCGTGTATCGGAAAACTATGTTTGCTGATATTAAAGTAGAAAAAGTACTCTGTGCACTTCTTTATAATTTACTACTTATGTAAAACTCGAAACCGTGTCCCATCCAGTTAGAAGCCAAAAGAGGGGTGTATCTGGGCATTCATTAAATCGAAATTAGGTTGTTTGAACATAAAGATTTAAACTTCCTTTTAGCACGTATAAGTGGAGGTTAATTCTTCCAATCGTGTCGATGTTGGTCTTAAGCACGTCAACGTAACTGGTTTGAGTTTTAGAACATGATCGATGTCGACAACGACATACCAAACGTTGCAGGAAGTATGAGGTTCCCGAACGAGTCTGACTATCTGATCTCTAGGCTTTCGACAGCGGACTCGATCTCACCGATTCCTTCAAAGTTTGAAAAGCTTGATACTAGAACCAATTGTTACCGTCAACATTGTTGCAGCGAGAAGATTCCCCTCTTCGAACATGATATGAACGTATTGGAATTATTACGACGAAGAGCACCATTTAGGGGAAAGACCCTGCGAACATTGACATTCAGACTGATAAGATAAATCGGTGATGATCCGACGAGGGTGGCCGGTGTGTGATAAAGGATTGAGAAGACGGAGCCAGTGCATGTGGAAAGGGGTCGTCGGAAGTGAGGGGTTTGACTGCATGGAGTCCGACAGAATTAACGATGGTCTCATTTGTAACAGCAGATGGAAGACTCCGTCAGAAATGTGGGTTGATGTTTGGTGGCAGTAACCAGTTAGTTGCTGCCTCCCAATTAAGTAAACCTTCCCCAATGCTTCTCTATCGATCCCTCGAAGCACTCAGCTAGGTCCTTTTCCAGCTCCTGCTACTCTGCAAATCCCTCCCCCCTGCATCGCCCTTGCCATCTGCTGCTGGGTTGCGTTGCTTCACATTGCTGGTGGTTTTTATTGCGCGGATGGTAGTGATATCGTTTGGTCCAAGTTGGCAGGGGGGAGGTGGCGGTATCTATTGGAGAGTCGGGAATGTTATTCCATGGAGAAGCAGCAGAGGGTGAGAAGTGGAAGAGAAGGGGGTGGTAGAAGAAATGGATCAGGTGTGACTGGCTTAGGAAGGGTGGTCATGGTGGTGCGGAATACGAGCAGAGTGAACTCGGCAGCGGGGGTGACGACGATCATCACATTGGGCTGGTGGTCGTCAGTTTAAGGGCTTTGAAGTGGTGTCGATTTCGGGTGCCGGAACTGAATAACAAAGAAAGGAGAGTTGTTTGGACTGCTCGAGTTTGAGAGCTATGGAGGGCAAGCCTCGGGGACGATGTTTTTGCTGCAACAGGGTGTTCTTAATGTTGGTTCTGCTTGTCTTAGTTAGTTTTCTTATGCAGTTTGCTTCCGCGGACGACATCGAGCATGACGATGCGATGGCCCCGTCGCAGCCTGGCTGCTCCAACAGCTTCGTTCTTGTAAGTCGGCTCCTCTTGTGCTCGATTCATCCGTATGTGTTTTTTGTTTTTGTTTTGTTTTGTTTTGTTTTGTTTTTTTTTCCTCCTTTCTCTTTATGTCTTCGCCTCTTTTTTAATTTCTAACTAGCAGTTCGTAGCCATTGTTCAGCTTGATTCGCAATGTTGCGCAAGTTAGTGATCACTCCACGAAGCATTAAATTGTGTTCAAGACTGCCGATTAGTTAGATATTATACACACACATTCTCTCCCTTCTTGGACTGCTTTGAAGTCCACGACTGACATTGTCGCGGGCAACAATTCGTATGCGGTTTGCAATGTACAAAAGTTATTCACCGAATCTTGAGTGCGTGGTAGGGAAAACACAATGTTCCATCCACAGGATAAAAATACCACGCTTACATACCATGTTTCAGCCCCGCCCATAACAATTCTTCTACACAGAACGAGGGGAATCGCTCCTTTACCCATGTTCCTAAGCTACAGAGAGAATCCTATGTAACTTGCAGTTTGCCATCAATAAACTGAACATATGAAATAAGAGGATATAAGAATCTGCTTTGTCGAAACAGTCGGCATAACACCGCCTCTGGAATGCAAGAGAAGGCTATGTAAATTGTGCAAGAGTGTAGAGGAGGAACAAGAAACTGACTGTGAATTGGGTGTGCAGGTTAAAGTTAGGAACTGGATTGCAGGACTAGAGGAACCAGAGGTTGTGGGTGTGGGCGCAAAATTCGGCGAGCTTATCACCGACTTTGAACAAGATCATAGTGCCCCACTGGCAAAGCTAGATCCTGAGGATGCCTGCACAGATTCTATCAAACCAGTGAGTTCTGATGACCTTGGCGTGAGTGGAATTTATTTAGATAGTCTTAGAGGTTTTTATTATATGATAGCTTGCAATAGTGAATGCAAAGAGTTCTCACCACAGCTCCATAATAGAAATTCGATACAGGAAACAATGCATTGGATTCTGTTGATAACATTTCGCGTCGTTGCCCGTCGTGTGATCATGAGTAATCTTGCTGCTCAGCGGATGTTTATTGTCTGATGCCTTCGCAGCTTCAGGGATACACAGCCCTGGTTAGACGTGGAAATTGCGAATTCACAACCAAAGCGAGGGTGGCGCAGAAGGCTGGAGCGGTTGCACTTCTTGTTGTGAACGATAAACAAGGTTCTCTTGTCTAATCCTTTCCCTGTGCATGATCTCCTGACTTGTTTCTTTTACATGATAATATGAACGGTTGTCGCTTCATCAAGAATTCATCTTAGAATTAACTCTCTTTATTATTTTGAAGCTTTAAAATCAAACCTTAGGTCATAAACTTCATCCCCCATTACCTTAGAGATGAATTGTCGTGGCTGGATCAACCAAGAGATCAAACGGGGATTATTTAATTACAAAAGGGTTCAGATATGAGCATACGATATAGTATTGGCAGAAAATTTTGTCTGAGCAGCTTTCAATGTGATTGCAGAGCTTTACAAGATGGTATGCTCTGAAAACAGTACTTTTACAGATATCACCATTCCATCTGTCATGTTACCAAAGGCAGCTGGAAACAATCTGGAGGATGCTCTAAATCTTGGAAAAGAAGGTACTAATACATCCTCGGTGAGCTTGGTTATAAGAGTTAAACCAGTGCTTGATTCTTGTACTGATTTGAACACTGAATTCATGACAAAGTTGAGGCTCAATCATGGCGTCGTCTACATGTTTGGATTAGTGATTATTTGGACTCTTTTGATGTGTTTCCTGGAGACGTATGTCATCTCTGTTTCTGGTTGTTTTCAGTGAGAGTGGTGATGTATTCTCCAAGAAGAACACTAGTCGACATAGCAGAGGTGTTTTTATGGTTGATGGCTGTGGGCACCATTTTGAGTGCCTCATTTTGGTCGGCCTGGACTGCGAAGGAAGCTGCTCAAGAGCACAACCGTCTCATGAAGGTATTGAGCTATTCAGTTCATTATCATATTACGTTCTGCGCAACATAAACTTGTTTAGCATAACAAGCTGATGGTGTTCATGATGCGGTTTTCGAATATGGGAGTATTTTGATCACAGAGGCTGCGAGTATAGTATCAGAACATTTGCATACCAGAAGACGATGTCATTGTTTTTTTCTGTTAAGTTTATAATTTGTGTAGCTTTTCGCCTTAAGCTTAATCCTAGCACAACTTTGTCTCTCAGCAAGAACGACCAGAGGTTCCAGCTGAGGATACGACAGCAATACATGATGCTGAGAAGTACTCGAAGGATACAATTGATATCAATGAGTTCTCGGCGGTGCTATTTGTGTTGTTGGCCTCAGCTATCTTGATGCTTCTCTACTTCTACATGTCGGATTGGTTTATACGGGTGTTGGTTATCCTGTTCTGTATCGGTGGCTTCGAGGTAAGGAGATAAAACGACTTGGCTTGCCATGTTCCTTGGTTTGCTCTGTCACGGTTGACAAAATCTGCTGGATGAAGCCTTCTGTTCAGATACCAGCCGAATTGTTGTGCACGAGATGCGTTTCAGAAACCATTATTCAGCTATTCTTTAACCTTTAACAACATGTGATGTCAATTTTATTTCAGGGTTTGCAGACCTGTCTTGTATCCCTTCTGTACAGGTACTCGATGCCCCTCACATTGTTTTCAAACGTTCCATGTTTATTTCAGAAGATTGTTCTTTAAGGCATTATTTCTACCTCATACGCGCAAATGACGAATATGAAACCTTTGATGATCTTTTAATCAGGCAATGACGCGTGATTATTTCACAGGTGGTTTCCGAAAGCAGGGACTTTCTTCATCAAAGTACCTCTTATTGGAGCAGTATCAGTCCTTGCTCTATGCCTGTCACCCTTTTGCCTCACGTTTTCTGTTGGTTGGGGCTACTTCCGTCTTAGTTCATACGCCTGGATAGGCCAGGACATTCTTGTGAGTGGATAAAATCCTCTTATACCCAATACAACATTTTGGTTGTCTTTTTGACAGCACGTGATGTCAAAAAGACGGGATTTCAGATGGGAGCTACACAAGAAGAATTTATAGCTGTCTCCGCAGGACTGTATTAGTGTTCGGTGGTTTATCAATTAAAAAGCATTGAGGATTTTACTTATAGTTCACATCTCATTTACTGCAGTACCTTGTGTACTATCTTCTGGAGGATTTCAAGAAAACATTTTGACTTAAAATAGGGTCTTAGTTTGACATGTTCTGGAAAGAAGATGCTCTGATCAAGTGTTTGCTCGCGTTATCTCTCATGCAGGGAGTTGCACTTATTCTTACAGTTCTTCAGATTGTTCATCTCCCAAATATCAAGGTATGCTATTTAATTTAAATAGAACTCTCGATCTTCTTCCACGGACAAATATAGTATACCACTCAAAGGCGAACAGTCAAAGGGACAGCACGTGTACCTCAATTACGATTGTAAACTGATCTGTGCATCATGTGGGCTTTCGCTTGTTTACACAGGTCTCTACAATATTGCTGAGCTGTGCATTTCTTTATGACGTTTTCTGGGTGTTCATCTCGCCGAAAATTTTTCACGAGAGTGTGATGATAGTGGTATGTCACTTAACTCCTCTATTGTCATTGTGTCAGTAGGCTTAACCGAGTTAACCCATAAGACGTGGACGGCCATGGAAACTCTCACGAATCTTACAGTATGTATCGGAATATGGTGGTGACACAAAGAATCGTATGATTCGAGGCGTAAGTTCCATGAGATTCTGTTCTCTCATATGCAGTCTTAGGTTCATGTGGGCCATTTATTTGTCATAGGTAGCACGGGGAGACAAAGGTGACGGCGAAGGCATACCAATGCTTTTAAAGGTCCCAAGGTTGTATGACCCTTGGGGTGGTTACAGTATTATTGGCTTTGGTGACATTCTCCTGCCAGGGTTGCTGATTTCTTTCTGCCTACGGTACTTGGAATCTAACATCACAGAGTTTGACCATAATTTGATGCTTCACCTTTCTCTTTGCGTTCAATTATGGCCGCTAGAAACATATTAGCAGAGAGGTGTGCCAAAGATCCACTTCGTCTTTTCTGCTGAAAAGATGGGTGTAACCTCTACCTTGCTTAATACTTGATTTCCGACTCGAACCTGACCTGTGTCGTACTTAATGCAGTGTGAGGCATAGCGATTGTGCGCAGTGTGGAAGATGTGTTGTGTGAACATTGTGAATAATTCACAAATCCTCGATCATTGTTACTGATGAATGCTATTGGTGGCAGGTATGACTGGATTGCAAGAAAGAGTTTGCTCCGGGGCTACTTTCTGTGGGCCACAGTTGGTTATGGACTAGGTACGAAACAGATGTTCCGTTTTGGTTCCTGATTGTCGACACTTTTAGTTCACAATGTAGTTTTCTAATGACCGAATTCTCGTACGCATGTTCTCAGTACCTATTCTATCTTTGATCTCGCAGGCTTGTTTCTGACATACGTAGCTCTCAACGCTATGAACGGCAGCGGACAGCCTGCACTTCTATACATCGTGCCGTGTACTCTCGGTATATGAAGCTTGCTTACCATACATGAATCTGCTATATTCTTGCAGCTTTTTTTTAGTTTACTTCAATATTTATATACACATCTATATATATCTATATATATACACACACATCGTTCTTTTGCAGACACCACTGATCAGGTCAAGATTACTGTTGGAGTTTAGGCTGTATCTTTCAAGTATATAACTAGACCCATTTGTGTGAACAGGCACGGTGCTATTACTTGGGTGGTGGCGAGGTGAACTGAAATCGTTGTGGTTTAAAGGAGATTCTCTGTATCATTTTTCATCAGAGGCGGCATAAGTGCGTGGCTTCTGTAGCAGCAGCCCACTAGATCTGTGGAACCCACTAATTGATTGGACCCAGATTCTAAGCCTTCAACTGTCAGCATCCTTCCTCAGCATCTGCTTAGAGTTGATCCAGTGCAGGAAATATCATTATAGAAGAGCCTGGTAGCAATAGTAAATTTTTGTCACCCAGCAAAGCCTAGAAACCGTTCCCGAGTGCTCATTCAGCTGAAGTGTGGATTTGAATCACTGATATGAATGCTTGATGTGCAGTATATTTTTTCTACACGGAGTCTAGTGTATTTGCATGATTTGAAATGATACACAATTATAATTTTTCTTTTTTGTGGGTGTGAAGTACATGAGCAATTTTGCATTCAGCTTACTTAAAAATATTGATGCTCTTTACTGAAATTTGTGCAAGACTTTTATTTTGGTTTATGCAGGTGTTTCGCATTTTTGTAGAATGACCAATAGTATGTTTATCATTTTATATAATTTGGACATATGTGTATATATTTATATGGGGGAATATCAAATTAATCCACCTAAACTTTGAATCAACTTTTCTCCTGTGATTCAATTTTTGTGATTATTTTTCTAATTTGGAAACATAAAACCTATGTACTAATTAATTTGATTTTTCCTTGATTTCTTGGCAAATTTGAAGGTGTAACAACCATGTTTTATGGCATGAGGAAATGAAGAGAGGGAGGAGTGAGGAGGGAGATAGATGGTATTTGGTGAGGATGTGCCTCAACAATGTGTACTAGAATTGTGAATCCAAGAGTGCTTCAAAACCAAAGCAAGCAGAAGGCAATAGCAAGCACAAGGCAATAGCAAGCACAAGGCAATGCAAGAAAGATTACAAATTCCTTACTCTTAAGGAGGATCTTGGATTAATTTCTATTGTTGTAGTCACAAAGATTAAATTATAGAAGTAAGTTGATTTGATTTATGATTTAGAGAGGTTGATTTAATATTCTCTCATATATATATATATATATATATATATATATAATCTTAAATCATTTTAAAAATTCATGTAAAAAAATAAATATAATTTATCATATTTAAAATAAATAATCAGGTAATAAATTATATCATTAAAATAATTTTTATTATATTTTTTAAAAAAGAAAAATATATATATAATATTTTTAGAATTAAAATATTATTAAACAAAATGATTAAAATAGTTTATTTGAACTAAGAAAGGATTTGTTAGATTCTAACACTATATCACAATAAAATGTCTTAATTAAACAAAAAATTAATAAATAAGAAAAGAATAAAAAAATTGATTAAAAGAACTTATAAATTATAAATGAACCATTTAAGCTCTTTAAGCTTGTAATTAATTTGAATATTAAATATTATAGGTAAAATTATTGACATCAATCTATTTTTAGAAATGTAAGATGTAAATAGCACAAAATAGTATTAAAAACAAGATCAGTATTATATGAATATAAATATTTTTAAAAAATTTTAAAAAATTAAACATTTTATTTTTATATTATTTTATCTTATATATCTATTAAATAAAACTATATATATATATATATATATATATATATATAGTTTTTAAATTTCAAAGAATTACAACAAAAATAATATATCAAAATAAATGCCAAAAATCTAGATAAAAGATGGATTTATTACAAAAAAAAGTTTTTTTTAATTAAAAAATAATATAAATATTATAGAATTACAATGTGAAATACAAAAAATAATAAAAATTGATATATAAACTAAGAACTAGTGCTTTAAAATATTTAAGTATGCATAAACATAAACATAATTCTAATCATATTTTATAGTAATAAAATCTTATATAAATAAGAATTCAATATTTTTACAGGAATATAATCATCTTTTAACAAGTTCAAAAAGAAAAAATGAAGAAATATTTTTAAAAAAAGCACAAATAACCATATACCTCAAATATATAACTATATAAGATGACAAATATTTTTTGGTTCTATTTTTTTTTTAATTTTATATTAATTACATTTAAACATTTGCAAAGAAAATTTAGGCAAGTTGCTGCATAGTTTGATGTTGGTGTAAGAAACATACTTAGAGAAGTTCCAAAGAATGTTAAAAAATTTATACAACTCTTTTATATTGTAGTGTACTTAAAATTTAGGTAAATGCTTTAAAAAAAATATTATATTTTTTATTGAATAATAATAATAATAATAATAATAATAATTTTAAAAAATTGCATAATAAAAATAAAAAAGTATTAACTTGGAAATTAACACAAGAAGAAAGATATATCTAAAGTATATTAAATAAAAGAAATAATACAAATATACTATCAACCACCTAGGACTTGAATCTAATACTAAGATGGCTTTCAAAAAAGATGTTAATCTTATTACTAATAGTAATTATATTCTTTCAAAACAATACATGAGCTAAAAGAGTACAAGTGTAGTTAATGTTTGTAAATAGTGCAAAAGATCTATATATATATATATATATATATATATATATATAAGTCACACTAATTATATTTTTATTTAGATAAAATAAGCACAAGTTTCTAAATACTAATTAATCTATTGACAAGAAAAAGAAGATCTTATAAAATAAAGAAGACATTGGTAGTATGACTCATTCAAATTAATTTAAAATATTTTTTTTTAATCAAGTATACAAATTTAGGTAATATTGGTATTAAGTGTATGATTTTTTACTATCAGATATTATTGTTTTAAATCCCACCATAGAGGTTGATGACTTTTAAGATATTATACTAGATAGAATTTTTTTTGACAAAAATTACTATAATAAAACAAGGTCTTTATAGCATACTTAGAATTCAACAATTTTTTCCTAGCACAACATGTAAATCTCACAACTCTCTAATTTGTAAAGATAGAAAGATAGAAATAGACTTTGAAGACACAAACTGGATTTTAGAAAAGAAAGAAAATAAATAATAAATAAATAAATTTAGAAATAAATTGTAAATCTATACTTGCACCTTATAATAAAATTACTTAGATCCATGGAATTTTGGAACTTAATCAAAATAGACTAGAAAATAAGAAATCCAAAAAACTTAGCTTAGCATCAATAGAATTAATATCATTTTAGCATATTCATCTCAAAGTTATACTCAACTTAAAATATATGTTTAGAATATTATTATCCATAATAAACTATCAAAGGCATCAAGAACCAATCTTACTTAATAACTTATAGGATAACCATGTAGATACAATTGCTTATCTAAAAACAGCTTATTTCAATATTGAAATAAATTATATTATCATAGCATTAGCCTATTGCAATCCAATGACTATTTGATGAAACAACTACAAAATTAGAAATTTGGTACAAGTTCCATATACCTTTGATCCATTATCATTCTTACTAACAACATTAATAAGTAGCAAATTAATATTATAGGAAACAATGATAATTGTTACAAGAGGTTTCAATTATTCCTCTTTTAAAGTTAATACAAAAATAAGTATAGAGGATATCTTGGCAATACTATTTTTCTATACAAAATTTTGTAAAAATATTGAACAACTTGCCAAAATAAAGGCAAAGTATGTAGGAATTGGTATGGTGATCACCATCAAGTGTCTACTTTACAAATTCTCAATCACTCACCACTACCCAAATCAATTTCTGCTATTGAGTTCTATACTATATCAAAAATTACCATTGATTGAGGCACTTTAAAGCACTTATGTACATAACTTCATCCATCTAAGACCAATCATAACAAGACAAAGGTAACCAAATTCATAGAAGAAAAATTATAAAGTAAGAATTTTGTAGACTTATAGATATTCTTAACAATCAAATTAGTAATTATATTGAAACAAGGAGTGACTTGTGTGGAAGGATGCACAAGGTCTTTCTAGTATACAACTAAGTCAGGGTTTAGGACCTTTATTTCAAACACTTATTTCTTCAAATTATTATAATTGTTTATTTCTGAAAGTCTTCAAGCTTTGTCCTCTTTATTGAATTTGGTCTCAAGCAAAATTACTATAATAATGAATATAGATTTGATTCTATGATTCAATCATAATGAATTAGAAAAACTATTAACAAAGTGGCAACAAACAAAGCTTTAAGTTCTAATAATGCAGACATAGAATTTTTCAAAATCTAATAAGATATTATAAATAAAGATTATATTCAAATAATAAACAAAACTATCTAAAATGGTTATTTTTTCTAAATAATTATTTTTGATTCTATCATTCTTCTTTACAAAGGTTAGAATAAAATCTTACTTGGTAATTGAAAATTGATTACATTTTTAAACACTTTTTATAAAATATATGCAAAAGTACTTCAAAATAAATTATAATTTTTTTACAAAAGTAATCTGTGCCAACTAAACAATAGCCTTGGACAATGTCTTAGTTAATTAAGAAGTACACAACTAAGCAAAAACCTTAAAATAACCTCATCTTCTCTTTAAAATCAACTTTTTAAAGGCATACAACAAAATATCATAGAAATTCATCTTTCAAGCTATACTTTCACAACAAATTTATCCTCCTAATAAAAATCTCTTTTTTGGATGTATTTAAAATAGTTGAATTTAATAACAATCATACAAATATATTTCTTATAGACAAACATATCCATTAGTTCCTTATCTTTTCATCATAGTTAAAAATATCCTAAATTTTATTATCCAAGATGTTAGTCAAACTAAAAAAATGTTTTGAATAGACATTTTACAGCACACAAATCAAAAAGTTATATGCCAATATATTGATGACTCGACTAAAACTATCAAAATCAACAAAGTCAATGTCAACAATCTTATCCATATTCTCAACTAATTTAATCTAGCTTTAGGACGGAAGATTAATTAGTCAAAATCAATAGCTTACTGGCAATACAAGAAGACTATACAACCAACGAGGACCTATGAGTTTCAATAAACTTGGGCATAATCCAATAACTTTAGCAAACTCTTAAGTACCTCTTTTGTCCTATCCCTTCAATCCGTAGATGTGGATCAATTCTTATTTGATAGAATGAAATACAAACTTGAATACTGGTGCTCAACAAATCTTAATGTAGCCAAAGAAATGATCATTGTTTATCACTCTCAACTTTATACTTCTTCCTAACACTTTAGGCAGGATCATGTGAAGCAAGTTGTAAAACCAAATCTATCATGATAAACTTTCCATCTAGATGTAGTGTTTCCCTACATGTTGTCCAAAGCTGACATGTTATTTCAGGAGTCTAGACTTATGTGTTGACAATAGTTGATTATATTATTAATCTCAAGAATGGGGTCAAATTTGTACTCTCCTGAAAAGATCAAGAGTATTATGATGCTGGATAACACATGAGTGCGTGTTCAATCAACATAATTCTATTTGAATACCCATAAAATTATGTACCCTTGAGGGACCACGTACTATAATCATTCAGGATGTAATAGTTAATGCAATTCTAAGAAATAGCCAATGCATCACAACTTGGTTGAACTCCTGAAGCATGAAGATGAGTTCAGTAACAATACTCATTGAACCTCATTACATTAGCTAAAGGAGTCCTAATGACTGATTGACCTTAGTCAAACTGGTGATTCGGTGATTCTGTGGTGGTTTGTAAACAAAAGTTGTACATGACGAATCATGAATCAAGCTCTGCAGGTTGAAATTGTTGAAACTTACATATCTTCAGAGTATACCATTGTAATGTGCTTCTTCAAGGATCCATTCCGAGAATACTATAAAACAGTCACTCAGGAGTTCATGATTGGACACAGAAGAAAAGCCTGATTACACTCGCCCTCTCAAACGAATTATAGAAAAACAAAAGAAGCTTGTGCATCATCGAACGAACATGTGAGAATTTCAGCTACATTGAGTCGTGTTGTCGTTTTATACTACGCAACAATGAAGCAAAATGTAATATACACTTCAAAGATTGTGTGAAAAACTTTAAACAAAAAGATGATTAAAAACCCAAACGGTGCTCCGGGAAATCTTAAGACAATTCAGCTCCACTCAGTAACATGTTCCTCTCTTCGTCCATAGAAGAAATATGTGAACAAAAGAGTATCAAAATTTCTTGAGAGTCGACAAGCAATCGCCTACACGGTTGACAAGGCAAGTCGCATGCCAGCGTTTAGACTACATGACAAGCCAGTACCATATTAAACATGAGAATTTAAGCCTTAACTGCGAATTTTCTCATCGGAAAGTAAGCTTCTTTCTTCTTCTGCTTCTCGGTCTTCATCGAAGACTGCATGAACGTTAACATTGTATCAGAACAAACACAATTAGCTGGTAGGAGTATGATCGATACACCACGAACAGGTAATGAAGTAGAAAAAATCTGAACACGGTTGTGGCCATATACAAATCATAACCTAATTTCAGGTCGTAGTCATCCTCGGGTTGGGAACATACCTGATGCTTTGTCAACCTCCTCCGAATAGCACGAGTTTTCTTTGGGCGCAAATCAATCGGAAGGTACTTCTTCTTGCTGTAAGCTTCACGAAGGCTAGCCTTTTGAGTCTGAGAGATGACGGTCAAAACCTGTGCAATCGACAGCCTAACCACTTTGCTGCAGGAACAAGAACATGACGTCAATCGTGAGGACAATAACTTCTAAAAGGCGGCGACAAGAACCCCGAACTAGAGAAGACTCGAATTAAGAAATCGAAAGCTCTTACATGGTACGAGTATGAATCATGGCAGAAAGGTAGAACTAAAACATGTTAGATATCATGAGCGTGTGACACAATAAAAACGCCCCGCTCACAGAATAAAATGCCATATCAATTTATGTTGATTGGATATCCGGCGCGCCTGTTTAGTAAAGGTCTATATAATAGTACTAACAAGTGAAGTGGAAATTAAGCGAAAGGTAGATAAGTCAACCAGCGCAATTACTCTCCTGTGAAAAAATCAATCAGGGGCGAGGGGGGGGCAGGAGCAAATTACATCTTAGACAGCTTGTTGGGAGCGCCTCCAGTAACCTTGGCAACCCTCAAGGCAGCGAGCTCGGCCTTCAGCTCCTTCAACTGTGATTATGCACCCGTGCAATCCACCAAATCAGTGCATTAGGACAACAGTGTTATTTCAAAAGTCAAACGAGGTTTTAAGGCAACCATTAGTATAATTTCAAATCCATGCGATTAGGACGTCTAGTAGACAAGCCTGGACAAAATGCCTAACCCACGATTGAGAGAACCCTACAAACTACTGGCAAGCAAGAAACCACACCTGGCTGAGCAGTTCATTTTTACTCTTGGCGCGGAGCTCATGCACTTTGATCTTGGCTGCAATAAATAACACAAATAATAAAAGGCAAATAAAAATTTTCTCAAGGTAAGGCATTTGTATCGACCTAATGATTGAAGAACTACACTCAGGGTACCCAAAACACTCGCGTGCGCAAACATACACAGAAGGTAAAACATAGATCGAAAATATGAAACGGAGAGTGAGCGACGATTACCCATCGCAGAAACTGGTGGCGAACCCTACGCGCGGAAGACGAGTAACGGCAAAGGAGGCGATCTCATCAAGCTGAGGAAGATTGTAAAAGAACCCTATCAGTTTCAGCCGGTACCACAAGTAGCAAGAGACGTCGGCCCCGAAACCCTAATCCGAGGACCCCGTTCACACCGCGAATTTATTCGTACGAAAAAGTGGTACCATTCGTCTTTCATTCCATAATGCAGATCGTCATCTCATTTTTCGTTCGTCCTTTCGTCATAAAAGTGACTTCAGATGATATTTGTCGTTCCCAAGTGATGAGAAATCACTTGTAAACTATGGGTCAAACTGAAAAGTGGATGAAATAAGGTGGTGATAACTCTTGCAACACATTTTCTTCAATTTTATTTTTACTGAATTTCATTATCTGTTTTAAGTACTGTTAGATTGATAGTCTTTGGAGTGATGAATTTTTTTCTTTTTAAATAATAGTGTAATTTTTTTATTTTTTTATTTTTTTGTGAAAGAGTACTATGATATTGAATATAGATTTATTAAGATATTTATAAAAAATACTGATATACTATATAAAAATAATGTGTATGTATATGTGTATATATATAGTATTGAACTTAATAGACATTGGTTATATCGCTTAATCAAAAAAAAATCTTTGAATATTAATTTCTTTTAGTATAGTAAAAGCATTGTTTTTTCAGATAGATTTTTAATTTAAAAAATAAAATAAATAAATAAATAAATAAAAATTTTAATCTTAATTTTAGCTAAAATATATATAGTCTTTAAAAAATTATAAATTTGTGTAAGTTGAATATAGATATATATTAAACTATACAATTATTAATAGAAGTAATAGTAACAACTAGTAAGGGCATCAGACCCTTTGTTATGTATTAAGGATATAATTAACAAAGACCAATAGGAAGAATAATACCATGTGAATTTTTTGAAAAAATCAATTTCACTATATAAATATAATAATCTAAATTGAAATTTAAAAGACTTTCTATCAAGCAAAGTTCAGTTTAATGTTTTTAATTTAAGAGTATTCTATTTGTTTGCCATTACATAAGCATCTTATATATATTTCATAGGAACAATATAAATATTCCAAATTTTGATATTAGGCAAAGAAAAAATATTTGATTTATGCTTAAGATGTTAAAAATAATATTTGATAGATATAATTTTCTATCTTTTAGTAAAAAATATTTTGATAAATTAAAATTCGAAATCAATTTAAAGATGCAAATTGTAAAATAGGAAGATTTAAATCATTGAAAATTGAATAGATTGTCAACAAAATTTTACAACATTTGATACATTTCCAATACTTTTGATAATCAACAATATTTTCATACATCTTTTCAATCAAACCACTCATATTTTTGACATTGTAATTTTATTTAGAATATAAATTATATTTTTTTCTTTATCAACATTTATAAGTTTATATCATTATTCGATACAAAATATATATTATAAAGTTCTATATTATTACCTTCTTTTAATCTATAGGATTGCCATAATTATTTTTTACAATAAAATTTAATTATCTAATAGTGATTCATTATAAAAAATATTTTATAATTATACTTATAATTTATATTATTATATTATTATATTATTTTGTATTAATAATAAAATTAAACAAAAAATCACTACTCAAAAAGAATAATCAACATCATTTATATGTCATGGGCATACTCATGTAAACTAATAATTATATATACAAATAGGTGGAAATAAGTAAAAGTAGGTAAAAATAAGTTAATTCTATAGTATTTAATATGGAAGCTTCCTAGAAGCTTCATAGATGCTACTTTAACTTCATAGGTGTCTTTAATTGACTTTTTGGATTAGAAACGTGGTCAACAAGTTGGCCATGTGCCACACATATTGTTAGCTTGAAGATCAAGCTAATTATGTGGCCCACATGTAGAAAAACTTGCCTTGTAAGTCAAGGCATGTGTCCTACAAAGTCAACACATATTGAAGGTCATATAGAACGTCGCCACATAGCCCCTAGTTAGATAGTATATATAGAGACAAGAGTGAAGGCTTCCTCACTCTTGTCAACTCCTTTCTTGCTTCCAGTCTAGTTTCAAGGGTCTCTAGTTTTCTTGTCTTTTGGCAATAGCCATTCCAATTTCTCTTTCAATATACATACTTGTTTATTTATATTTTGTTACCTTTCTTTGCATGAAGGCTCACTTCTCTGAATTATTTTTTCATCGAATTCTTATCCTTGACAAATTGACAAGAGTACACCTACAATATCAAAGATTTGTCTATTCTTGATTAAGAGTGGATTACCCCCTTTTTCTTGATAAGATATAAGCATATTAGAAGTTATGGATTACCCTCTTCTAAACTGATATTGTCCTTAGTATTTTCTTTGTTCTCAAGTCCTATCTTCTACTTGTCTTGAGCGATATTAGACATCTTCTCTTTTCTAAGTGTTATCATAGCAGAACTTATTGAAATGAAGAGTGCAATGGCACAAATGTAAGAGCAATTGAGGGACTTAATGCTTACGATGCATCAACTCAATTTACCACCACAAGGAGCAACAAGATTGTGAGGAAGTGAAGATATAGAAATCATTGGAGCTGCTTCAACATCTGCACCAAACCATGTCCTTTCCCCTATGGTGGAACGCCCTTTCAATATTAGAGAACTATGAATTATCCTATCCGAGAAGTTTGATGGCACCAGATCTAAGTTTTGAGGATTTATCAATCAAGTGTAACTTGTGATTGAACTTTAATCCCAAAGCTATCCAACTCTAGGATCACAAGTTAGATTCATTAGTACGCTTCTTTCAGATTCAGCACTATCATGATTTTCATCTTTTCTTGAATGATGAGATCCAATATTGGATAATTTAGTAGCTTTTTTAGTAGAATTTTGATCTATGGATAGAGAACATGATGCAATTCGTGTTGCAACCAATAAGATCTGTAGTTTATGAAAAGACAATCGATCAGTAATGTTGTACGCTTAACAATTTTGACAACTTCCAACTGATATTAAGTGGGATGATGTTGCACTTATTAGCCAATCTCTCTATGGATTATAATATGAGATAAAAAAATTATTGCTCAACTTACTTGATCCTCAAACATTGAGTCAAGCAATTGACTTTGTTATGAAGTGCGACAATCATCTTTTTGGATTTCGATCTGAGAACCGTACAAGTGGACCTCAACGTTACTATAATTCAATGGCAACACCAACACCTCTTCAATACATACATTCGGAAGTAGAGGATATGCAATTTGATGCAGTACGTTTCAAACTTCTTACTGAGCAAGAAAAGACTCATCGTCGTAAAGAAGGATTATATTTATATTGTGGAGAACCAAAGCATAGAGCTCAACATTATCCAAAAAAATGACGCAATCATAAAATGAGGAGTATGGCTATGAAAGAAGCCAATATGTCGAAAAACGAGTTTGTCCAGCTACAATAGGGATCGTGCGGCTGGAACTTTATACAACATCTAGTAAAGGTCCTATTCTCTCCTCAGAGCCCTCTTCTTGTTTTACATTAAATGTTATTTTACGACCTAAATATTACAAAGCCTTTGCCTTCTTAGATTGAGGAGCCTCGGCCCGTTTCTTACATGAAGAATTTACTAAAAGACATAGCATAACTTTATTAAAGAAAACTAAACCTGTTCATGTAGAAGTCATAGATAGTCGTCCATTGTCTTCTAGAGATATTATTCAAGAAACCCTTCCTATAGAAGTAATAATCAATAGTCATAATCGCTTTGTAGTATTTAATATCATTACATCTCCTTCTAATCCAGTCATTTTAGGTTTATTGTGGTTAGAAAAATACAACCCTCAAATAGATTGGATTTCCCAAACTCTTACTTTCTCTAAAAGTATAACTAACAGTGTAGTTAATCAAGTAGAGAGTCATAAGTCCAGTTCAATTAAATCCGTATTTGTAGGTGCAAAAGCTTTCTTGCATGTTGCTATGAAAGAATCACCATATATTATTTATGCCACACCTGTTTCTCTTGGTGGTAACACTTCAAGTGGTATTCCAAGCCAATATCGAGAATTTCAAGATGTATTCCAAAAAAAGAATGCGGATACACTTCCGGAACATCGTCCCTATGATTGCTCAATTGACCTTCAAGAAAGAGCACAACTGCCACACAAACCAATCTACAGTTTATCACAAAATGAGTTGACTGATCTCAAGGAGTATATTGAAGAAAATCTAGCCAAGAATTTCATACGCCATTCTAAATCTCCGGCAAGAGCTCCAATTCTATTTGTGAAGAAAAAAGATGGATCATTGCGGATGTGTGTTGATTATTGAAGACTCAACAAGATTACCATCAAGAATAGGTATCCACTACCTTTAATATCTGAACTTCTTGATCAATTGAATTAAGCTAAGATCTATACAAAAATAGATCTCTAGGGAACATACAATCTAATATGCATGAAAGAAGGAGATCAATGGAAGACTTTGTTTCGAACTAGGTATGGACATTTTGAATACAACGTCATGTCTTTTGGACTTACAAATGCACCAACAGCTTTTCAACATCTAATGAATGATGTTTTTCGAGAGTTTTTGGATGATTTTGTGGTCTGTTATCTAGACGACATCTTGATCTATTCTAAAAATCCAAAAGAACATGAACTTCATGTTCGTTATTTGTTACAAATTAAGAGATGCTAGACTCTATGCCAAGATAGAAAAGTGTGTATTCTACACTACTCAAGTCGATTTTTTAGGTTATATCATTTCAAATGATGGACTTATGATGGATCCTAAGAAAGTTCAAACTATTATAGATTGGAAGATCCCAAAAACGATAAGAGATGTCGAATGCTTTTTAGAATTTGTCAATTACTATCGGATCTTCATCAAGGACTTCTCTCGAGTTGCAACTCCACTTACACGTTTGACTTATAAAGACAAACTCCAATGGAATCAAGAAGCGAAAGTTGCTTTTGAATCTTTGAAGACAGCGTTTGTTTCTGCACCAATCTTGTACTGTGTTGATTTTTCCAAAGCATTTTTTATGGAACCAGATGCATCAGACTTTACTCTAGATGCGATTTTATTACAAATGGGAACAGATGACAAACTTCATCCAGTAGCCTTTCATTCA